ATGAGGTGGATTGATTCAGTGACTGGGATAATTGGGATGGGAGTGTCAGAGACAGTGCGATTGGCACAGGACAGAGCGGAGTTTCGGGCTGTTGTACATAGGGTCGCTATGAGTTGCAGGCGACTCGACGGCACATAACAACAACAACAACAACAAATTTTCCTTTAGGGAGTTCTGGTGACCCAGGTAAGGAGCTATGCTGCTAATCTGAAGATTCAAATCCACCAGCACCTCTGGGGGAAAAGATGAGCAGTTTCCTCCCATCTGATTTACTACCTCGGAAAACCCACTGGAGGCTCAACACCACTTCCACCACCATTTTCCCTTTATTTTATTGACTCCTAGCCCAGAACTGAAGCTATTCTGATCCGTGAGCTTTATTGTGGCACAGAGTTTTGGTTTTTTTTTCGCTGTAGTAGTAGTCTGTTTTTCTCTTGGAAATTTTGTGTAAACCTGTCATTGTCCCTAAAACCAAAACGGGAGCCACCTTACCCAGTTGATTGTAGCTAATGGTGACTCTATAGGACAGAATAGAGTGACCTAGAGGGTTTCTAAGCCTGTAATCTTTATAGAAACAGGCTGTAACATCTTTACTCAGGGAACTCATGGTGGATTTGAACCACTGACATTTTGGTTGTTGACAGCACTAAACCATCAGTGTTCCTTTCTTTATCTCCGAAAGTGTGAAATGTCATGCCAGTGTATCTTGGTTTGTGTTTAATTTTTCCATTGTATGTTCTTGTGTCTAGTCAGTCCGATAACTTTTGGGGTTTTTTGTTCTCTGAAATTATCTTATTTAATTGATTTCTTTTCTCCTCATTCCCTCCTCCCTTTTTTTCTCGGAAACCTTTGTAATCTGATTCTTTTTTTTTTCTTTCCTTCTTTCTCTCTCCTCGACACTGTATTCTAGGAAATTTCCTCACTTATATTTTCCTCTTAAGTTTTTCAACTAATATGTTGACCGCTATTTTCTTAATTACAGGCTTTTCTTAGAAGTCTGTATGTATTTAGTTTCATTTTAGACTTTTTCCCCCTGACTACTTGATTGTGATTTTTGAGCTTTTAGGTGGGGCCTGTGTTTTGTATTGTAAACTAGACAGGTCATATGTTGGTAGCCTTGTGTCAGTATCATTAAGTTTTTCTCTAGGTTAGATTCTTTAAGGGATGGTTAACTCTAATCTCCTGCTTGATGCATTAAAGTCATTAGGAATTGAGGAGAGATAGAGGATGGTGTAGGAGATGATCTCCATATTTAACATTTACGTTTTATAGGTTTACTTAAAACCCCTTTTATCAAATCAGTATCCACTGTGTTAGAGCATTTCTGATGTTCACCAGTCCAGAGAATAAGCTTTGTTTCACTCTCTAGCAAATACATCTCTAGACTTGAGGTGTGGTGCAAAGACACAATTACCAACTATTACAGAGTTGGGAAATTATTTTAGGGATCTAAGTACTTTTCACAAGTCTCTTCTTACTTTAGGGAGCTCTGGTGGTCTAGTGGTAAAAAGCTATGATATTATCCTAAAGGCATGTGGTTCAAATTCACCAGCTGCCATATGGGAAAAGGATGGGCAGTTTTCTCCCCTGTGATTTACTGCACCTGACAAACCACTGGAGGGTCAGCTAGAGTTGATTCTGACGTGATGGCACACAACAGCTTCTCACGTTAGCACTTCTGTTCCCCACCAGATTCAGAGGTACCTGATTCTGTCAGTTCCCACATCTTTTTAGGATTCTATAGTATAGACTAGCACTCCACACCATATATATCATTATAGTATAGATTTAGCACTCCACATCATATATTTGCTTTTGTTTCTTTTCCTGCTAGTTCTAAATCAGTCTTTATGTGATGTTTAGTTATTATAATTTCAGGAAGAATGAAATAAAGATATTTAGTCCACCATCTGAGAAGCAACCAGTGTTTTTGACATTGCTATATCACCTTTATAACTATCTTTTTAAATGACCATATGATTGCCATTAAGTAAAAAATACATGTTTTTTCAATATAGGTTGGTTGTTTTTTCACTGTTGTTACTGCACACAGTACTGTAATGAACTTCTATACACACATTCCTTTTCCTTCATTGTTACATTCTTTTCTAAGGTTATATTTCTGAGAGAATAATCAGTTACCTGTGCAATATCTTAGTGTTCACGATGCTTATTGAGAGATTGCTTGTTCAAAGAATTGAACCACTTCTAAGTGTTTCTTCAACACAGCTTTACAGAAAATATTTTTCTTCCCTGGCTTGAGGTATCAGAAGTTCTGTTCTTGGGTATAGATCTCTTGTTCTTAAAATGAAATATACTTTTTAATTCTTGAATCTGCAATCTTTTTAAAGTGTACTGTCAAGAAAGGGCTTTTATTGATGAGTCATACACAATATTATTTTTATTATTATTATTTTACACTAAGAAAGGAAAATAAAGGAAGGCGGGGATGGGCGGGTAATAGGGCTCATACACAACTAAGTATATGTCATCATCTCTCAGTTACTACTATTTTTTTTTTCCAGACTTGAAGTCTGAGGTGGGTTGTTTTTTTTCCCCCCATTTAACCCCTTCTTTAAGTCCTGAATTAGTCTCGAATTAATCTTGACATTTTAGGCATGTTTAATTTGCTTTTAAAGATGCTTGTTTCTTAATGAGGCAAATTATTTTCCTTTATAACTTTGTTTTTAATACCTGTTTAGAATAAAATGTTCTGAGAGAGATCAGGGTATTTGTCTTCAGAGAAATGCATGAATTGAAATTTTCCTCTTTGGTTGATTTTTTTTTTCTGTTACTCTCTTAGGTGGTGCTTCCTACATTTATCCTAGAGAAGCGTTCCTTGTTGGAAATGTATGCGGACTTTATGTCTCACCCAGACCTATTTATAGCCATTACTAATGGAGCCACAGCTGAGGACAGAATGATGCGTTTTGTTGAGTACTACCTTACCTCATTTCATGAAGGCCGTAAGGGAGCTATTGCTAAGAAACCGTACAATCCTATCATTGGAGAAACATTTCACTGTTCCTGGAGGATGCCGAAAAGCGAGGTAGCATCCAGTGTTAATAGCAGCTCTTCCACACAGGCAATCACAAATCAAGCTCCTTCTTTGGAGGAGTCTTTGAACCAGGTGGGATCAGACTGTTACACAGTCCGATTTGTTGCTGAGCAGGTTTCCCATCATCCTCCAGTCTCAGGATTTTATGCAGAATGTGCAGAGAGGAAGATGTGTGTGAATGCGCATGTCTGGACTAAAAGCAAATTCTTAGGGATGTCAATAGGCGTGACAATGGTTGGAGAAGGTACGTAGAAATATTGTTCACCGATTTTTAATATCAAGCCACATTCTTAAATTTTGAGAAGCCACATAAACATTAATTATACATTAAAAATACTATGCGTGTGTGTTTTAATTCCTAGTATGTTCCAAAGTGCTTGTGTTGAAGAGAAAGGCATTTTCAAAGTAATTTTTTTCTTATTTTAAATATATAATGCTTATATTTTCAAGACTATGAGAAACCTAGAAAAGTATAAAGGAGATATGTGAAACATCTCTAATTCCTCCACCAGGCTATGGAAACTTTTAGTTATCATTTAATAATGTTTTTATGCACGTATTTAGTCATACCTTTCTTATTAGTTTTGTAAAGTTGAGATTAATTATATAAACATAATTTTGTGTGTTGTTTTTGTGAACAATTTGTATTTTATTTTCCCATGTCATTCAAAAAACTTTTAATGTACTTTAATTGTTGAAAAAAATTCTGTTAAGTGTATTTGCTTTTATTTAAACATAATTTCCCCCAAATTTAAAATTTTTCTACTACAGCATGATAGCTTTTTTAAAATAAATTTTTATGTATGTTTCTTATATTTCATTAGAAGACAGTATTTAAACTCCATTTTTTTCCTATATTTTATTAATTTTCATAAACATTTACAGAGATAAACTCCATTTTCAAACCTTAATTCCCATCAATTAAAAATAATGAAAAATAATTTGAGGGTATTTAAATGTTTCTTTATATTAAGAATAAAGCAAAGTTCCATAGAGATCATTGCAGAACTTTAATGGTAGAAAGAATTACCATTTTAATGCTAAAGGAAGATGCTTGTACATAGACTAATTTGGTTTGATTGTAAACTTAAAAAAGTAAATGTGCCATAATTAAGCCTATGACTTCATATTTTAGGATTGCACTATTTTAGATGTGAAGAAAATTATCTTCTCTTTTTATGTTTTTCCCATTTTTATATTCTATTGTAATACAGTTCTTTCTAATTTATAAATTATATTTAAGGTTAATTACAGCTTTTTATAACAAGCACTCTTGTTATATTAGTTTTTTTTTTTAAAAAAAAGGTTTGTTATTTTGGGTTAAGAACTTTGTAATATTAGCCGTTGGCTATTACAGATATTTTATAGATGAAACATCTAGACATAATAGAACATACTCACTCATAAATTTTTAAGGCATAGCCCAATTTAGAATGTCATTTTCTGACATTTTCTACCCTACAATAGTTATTCTTATACCTGTTTATATGACAAAAAGAATCTGATAATGGTATGTTACTAGAAATTTACTTCAAGAAATAAGAAACAGCTTTATTATCTTAATCATGAATTGTTAAGAAGGCATCTAATCATGTGTTCATTGTTTATCCTTAAAAATTTGCTGTTGGTAGCTTCACAGAAGATAAATAAAATTAGACAATTCATTTTGCCTTTTTTATAGTGATATATTTTCTTTAGTATGATAGGGAAATTCCATTATTACATAAATAATATTTTAGTAATCTATAAGTCTAAATTGCCCTCACTAGGCAGCATTTCATGTTTTCTGATATTGTCTGTTTCTTTAGATCTTTAAGATTTTGAATTCAGAAAGTTAAAATTACCCTAGCTATACATGATTTTGTATATTATGACCCTGATTAGATAGTTCTCTAGATCTTTTATTATTACTTGGTGTGGACTGCTTGTGCTGAAGAAATATATTCTTAGAAGTTAAAGATCATAAACCCAATTTTCAAAATAATACAACTTTTGAAAAAGAATAAAAATATAGTATATCTTTCATCTTAGTTTTTTCCAATCAATAATTATTATTCAGCCAGATAACAATATTATTATAAAACACTAAAAATGCACACCAGTATGTTCTTTGTATATCTTTTGACAATACATATTAGTATTTTACTGAGAGAATCAAGTGACTCAATAATTCTTGATAATCATTACTGTTCAATCACATAACATTGCTATTTGTGGAGACTGTTACGGACAATAAAAAAAAATAGCTGTTTCTTTATGTAAAATATAGACAGCTTTAGAATTTCAGTTTATTTCCTTATACATTATTTACTATATTTCTCCTTACTTGTATTAAAAACACAATTTTTAATGAGCATTCATTGAAAGAGATGCCATAAGGACTCAGATTTCCTGATTAGTCAAGTCAGTATGTTAATCTGATGATGGCCAAGGCTAGTAATATATTGGTAGGTCAAATATTCTTAATGCCACTTAATGATACATTGATTGGTATAAGATCAATTATTCAATAATGAAATACTGTTTATATGTGGTGGTTTAAAACCGTCTTTAATATAGCCCCACTTAAGAAAATAAGCTCCATTAGAATAATAAATTAATTTAAAAATAACCACTTAATATTTCCTGCAGCTTTACTCTTATTTAAAAATTTGCCACGTAGAATTATTGTTATGACCTTTATTTTTCTGACACAATTTTTTCTTCCTCAACCTACAGAGAATAAAATGAAGAATAATTTCTTTCTTAAAAATCACACCAAGAGGGAGCTCTGGTGGCCTAGTGGCAAGAAGCTGCACTGCAATCCCAGAAGTGTGTAGTTCAAATCCCCATATACCCTGCTGGAGAAAGAGGGACAGTCTCCTCCTGTACCAGTCAGATCTGATTTGACAGTACACACACACAAAAAAAATAATTAAAAAAAATTAAAAAAAAAAATCACACCAAGATTGATTCTGTAATTATTAGTAGCATTAACCAACGATCAGATCTTAACACAGTGCAGCACAGCATGGCCTTAAAATCTTGATTGACAGTTTTACTTTCTTTAGGAGCGTTAAAGAGAAATATTAAAGTTGTAAACTGTACCATTTTCTAATAGTGTAAACCACCTTGATTCCTAGAAGTTTTGGAAATGTTCACTTTAATTGTAAATTAACTCATTTTCATCCCAAGTTAAATGAAACGAAACAAAACAAATTAATGATATTTATTTACTACACAGAAAAAAAGTTATTTGTTTTGGTAGCTATTGGTCTTACAAGATGTTAACTGTTGCAATGTTTTCATGTTCAGGTATCCTCAGTTTGTTGGAACATGGAGAGGAATACACCTTTTCTTTACCTTGTGCATATGCCCGGTCAATTTTAACTGTTCCATGGGTGGAACTAGGTGGCAAAGTCAGTGTCAACTGTGCAAAGACTGGGTATTCTGCCAGCATCACTTTTCATACTAAGCCATTTTATGGTGGCAAATTGCACCGGTAAGAACATTTTAATGAGGTTTAGCTGTGATCCTGTGGTATAACCCCTAATTCTTTTTTTCTACTTTATTTTTACATTTTGATTTCTTTCTTTAATTAGTCTTTTGAGGAATTCTGGAAATCATCTCTTTTTAAAAATAGTGATTTTTTAAAAAATTGATTTTCATTCAGTCACTCATATATATACTTTGTCTTATAACATCAATTATTATTACACAATGCCATTTAAAATATTGACATTATTAACACATCTACTTTTCATACAATTTTTCTGGCAGGGTAGCTAGCCAGATGTGTAATATAATTTCCAACAGATAAAGAAACAGTCTCTGACCCAGTCTTTACTTTTAAAGAGATTCAGAGTTTAACCCAGAGTTTAGTTGAAACAGCAATAAGTGCAAGTTAGGGTGGAAATATATCTATCTAATCTCTGTGAATAGTTCAAGAAGTAGAATGATAGAAACCAACAGGATGTGTTAATCAATAGCAGTTAATGTTATAAAACAAATGGAATTATTGATCATAATGTGAAAAACCCATGTGATTGATAAGCCTGCACTCAAATAAAAATATTATGCCGGTCTCCCGGCATAATATTTTTAGAAGACATTACTGAATGGTGGCATTGTTCTAATTTCATGTAGTGGTTGATTAAGTTTAAATTCCTTTCTTGGCATGTTAGTCTCTAGCATTCATCTGTTGTTGTTCTGTGTGCCATTGATTTTAACCAACTCATAGCTGACCCTCCTGGGGGGTTTCAGAAGCTGTAAGTCACATAGGAGGAGATTGCTCATCATTCTCCTGGGAGGAACCTAGTGTATTTGAACTGTATTCCTTTGGGTTGGCAGAGCAACTTCTTTCCACTAGTCCACCAGAGCGCCCTAAGAGTCCAGTGTTAGTCTAGATCACTCCAATTAAATAAGTGCAAATTTGTTAATGTTGCTTCTGTATGTTATTGAGTGAGGTATGTCTCATAGTCACCCTGGAGTGCCTCTTAATTAAAATGTGCAGGACGGCTATAGCCATCATTTGAGGAAACGTGTTAAGGTTCCTTAACTTGTCCCCATTATAGGTTCAGACTGTGAGATCTTTTCCCTGTGAAGCCAGTGATGCATTTAATCCAGTCGCTTCTTGGTTAGAAGCTTAACCATTGTACCACCAGGGCTCCCTAATTTTCAGTAGGTACCTAACAAGGATGCTGACTCACTTTTTAGGCCTCTGATGCTCATTTTGACCCTCCCCCAGGTTTTCAAAGTCAGTAAATTGCATGGGAGAAGATACCTAGCCCGTTCTTAACCCACAGAGTAGCTGGTGAATTTAAACCATATGCTGTTGAGATTGCAGCACAGCTTCTTACCACTGGGCCACCAGAACACTCTAGTTCTTGAAGTAGAAGTAGTTTTATTTTTTAAATAATCTTTGTTATTGTTGCTTGCCTTCGAGTCAACCATGACTCATTAACGACCCTATGAACAAAAGGCCTGAAGCCCCTCTACAACTATCAACATTTATCAAAGTTCATAGAGGCATGTTATTTAGGCAGTGGATGCCACTCCTGCTACCAAACCTGTCATAGTATGTTATTGTTGTTATGTTCCGTTGAATCGCCTGCAGTGTATAGTGACCCAAATAATCTTCTTACTGAAGAATAATACCTATCCATACAAAAGTATACAAATTGGCAAAAACATGTGAGTACTCTGATTAAGATTTGGAACGTTACTAGCATTTCAGAGGCCCACTTCACATCCTGTTGCAGTTAAAAACTAAGGAAGTCAAAACCTAAGGAAGCCACTTTAAAATTCTGCCTGGTTTTGGACTCTATATAAATGTAATTATGTATTGTGTTCTCTGTCATAACTGCCTGTTGGTAAGAAGCTGCACTACAATCCCAAAGGCACATGGTTCAAATCCACCATCTGCTCAGCACATGACCATAACTACTCAAATGACCATAAGCATCAGATTGGACAAATAAACTGTGGCAATTCAAGTTGGTATTGACCCATCACGGAACCTCTAGTGGGTTTTTGGAGGCAGTAAATCACATAAGGGGATACTGCTCATATGGTTCAAATCCACCATCTGCTCAGCAGAAAGATGAGCAGTATCCCCTTATGTGAGTTACTGCCTCCAAAAACCCACTAGAGGTTCCGTGATGGGTCAATACCAACTTGAATTGCCACAGTTTATTTGTCCATTCTGATGCTTATGGTCATTTGAGTAGTTGTCCATTTTTATTCTTACAAGTAGTGCTCCTACAACATGACTTCGTAAATAGACATATGGGTTTCTGTTGGGTAAATGCCTGAGGGTGGAATTGGTGCATTCTGGGGTTATGTGTAAGTTGATCTTTCATTGGTACTGCCAAACAGTTCTCCTAAGTGGTTATATCCAAGTATATTCCTTCCAGCTGCATATGAGGTTTTTTGTTGATTTGACTACATTATTTCTCCAATAGATGACTAATACCTAAAAAGAAAACCTTTTGATTCTCAGTCATTGAATAAGCCTTTAAAAATAGGGATTTCAAAACACTGAAACAGAGAATCTTTTTCAAAAAAACACATTTCATCCAAGCCGTACCACTGGACACTGAATGGTCACTTTTTAACCTTAGAGAAGATGCCTCACATTATTCTAATCACAGTAGTTTAAGTAACGCAAACTGTGGAATTCATTAGAATGGACTTTATATCAACGTTTGCTAAATGGATTAATCCCTTCACAACATGCCTGACAGCTGGTTTGTTCAGTTTGGGTTGATAATATTTTTAGTAGTGTTACTCCATAGGAAATAAGGATATTAACTTCAGAGAACAGAAAAATATAAATCTTTATCTTGGAGGAAGTACAGCCAGGACAGGGCATTCTTTAGAAGGAAGGAAGGTAATATTTTGTGCTTTGGTTCTTCAGTACTTTGACTTATGCCTTGGAGTTAAGCTTCTTTCTTCCTCATAACTTCCACTTCAATTGTGAAATCTGTTTTGTGAACTCACACCCCACTGAAGCTACATTCTTGGTGGTCTCCATTGTTGCAGCTGCATTTAGATGTTTTACTTTTCTGACCCAGAACATAGTACATCCTTGGGTATCCTATAGCTGCATTGTCAAGAACTTAACTGTTATCCAGTCTCACACTATTCCCTAGGAATAACTGTTGTCTAGTCTTACTCTTGCCTCTGGAAACTCTGTGTACGAACAGTGCTCAGGCTGTTCGTTCATAGGGTCGCTATGAGTCATCTACGACTCGACGGCATTAAACAACAACAACAAGTCTTACTCTATTCTACTGGGAATAGAGCACTAAGCAAGCAAAGTAGAGCTACACTGAGCAGCTGAGGCCCATCCACAGCTGGATCTTCATAGGCAGTACTGTGGTTTCCACGCCACTTGGCCAGTAGGGAGGAGGTGGCTGATTCTATGTGTGCATGGTCTTCATACAGAGCTCTATTGGTTTAGTGGTGGGGAGCTGTGTTCCCAACCCACTGGCATGTAGTTCAAATCTTCCAGCTGCTCCATAGGAGAAAAATAAATAGTCTCCTCTCATGTAGTTTACTGCCTCTGAAAACCTACTAGAGAGTGGGTCAGCTATGCGTTGGCTCCAGCTCAACAGCGCATAATAGCAACAACCAACATAATCTTCTTAACTCTTCAGTTTAAAAAAAAAATTGCTTCATTTATTTAGCTACCTTATACCAGTGGGTTTCTTAAAACATAATTTCTCTCAATTTAATTATTAAATGGGACTTTTATGACCAAATGAATAAGGAATTGCTAACTCAAAGTCATACCTCTCTGGCAATTAGAATCCACCAGCTGCTCTGAGTTAAGATGAGCAGTTTACAGCCTCTAAAAACTCACTGGATGGTCACTGTTAGGCTGTTCTAACTTGATGGCAATGAGGGGGTTTTGTGGAAATTTTTTTAGAGTTAAGTTTAAAAGAGTAGTACAGTTTTTTATTTCCTTTCATGATGAGATTAACCTACCCATTATGTTTTTTCTTCAGGTGGGTAGACTCAAGGTTGTATTTTCATTTTCTTCAATTTCAATATGATCTTAGACATGAGTAATTGATGGTCTGTTCCACAGTCGGGACCTGGACTGGTTTTGATTGCTGCTTTTAAGCTTTTTCAAAGAGTCTCTGCTCAGATGTAGTCAATGTGATTCTTGTGCTGTCCATCGGGCAAGGTCCATGTGTAAAGTCGCCTTGTGTTTTTTTTTAAAAAAAGCGTTTGCTACGAATAAATCATTAAACATACAAGACTAGAGCAGCTGTGAGATGACATTAGAGATGTCTTACATCTCTAATGAGTAAAAAAGGTCATTATAAAGAGAAGAAAGAAAAAAAACAAAATGGATATCAGAAGAGACTCTGAAAATTGCCTTAGAGCATCAAGAAGCTAAAGCAAAGGAAAGAGATGCTGAAGAGGTGAACAGAAGATTTCCAAGGGCAGCTCAAAAACACAAAGCAAAATATTATAACAAAATGTGCAAAGAGCTAGAGTCAGAAAATAAAAAAGGAAGAACGAGCTTGGCATTTCTTAAGCTGAAATAAGTAAAAAAAATAAATTTGAGCCTCAAATTGCAATGCTGACAAATAACTGGGGGGAAAATCTTGAATGATCCAGGAGGCATCAAAAGAAGATGAAGGAGTACACAGAGTCACTGTACCGAAAAGAATTGACAGTGAAAAATTTCAGGAGGTACCAGCTGAACAAGAGTTAATCGTAATAAAGGAAGAAGTTCAAGGAGTATCTTATGACATTGAAAAAAATAAGGCCTTCAGAATCAGTAGGATACACATTGACATTTTTCAAGTGACACATGAAGCCCAGGACGTGCTCACCAGTCTATGCCAGGAAATTTGGAGGACAGTTGCTTGGTTGACCAAAAAATGTGGAAATTTTTGAAAAATATCATTAATATCATATACCAGCAAAATAAGGCTGAAGATCATCCAAAACTTGGTTGTTGTGGTTGTTGTTGTTGTTGTTGTT